TGCCTGGGTCCTTCCACTATCTCGCCAATACGGGAAGGAGTCCTGGCTCCAGCCACGCGTCATTAAGCTTTCTAGGCTGGAGAGGTGGGAAAGTGGCTAAGAACACGTGTGACTCTTTCAGAGGCCCAGGTTTGGTTTTCAGCACACACACGTTTGCTCATAACTATCTGTAACTCCAGTTCTTCAAGGCATGTGGCACACATACACAAGTGCAGGAAAATATTCACACACACACACACACACACACTCACACACACACACACTCACACACACGCACACACTCACACACACGCACACTTACACACACACACACGTGCACTCACACACAGAAGCAAATATGTCTAATTTTTACAGCATTATTTAAAGATCAAATTTCTCCCAGGACCTTTGCTTCAGAAAGTCTAAAGCTGTCCAAACTGCCCTCACTTGCCAAGTTCATCACAACTGGGAACACTGAAAGCTGAACACCACCTGCAGCTCTCTTTATTTGGACAGAGTTGGTGCAAATCAAAAGTTACTAAGTGCAATTGAATTCTAGAGCAGGGAAAAAACCTCCTAGGCAACCCGGTGACATTCGAGGAGCCCCCATGGCGTAGTTCATCTAGCAGTGGTGTGACATCATCGATTCCCAAGACGCTGACGTGGGGCAAAGCTGCACGGAAGGTGAAGGTAGTCTGTTCTATCGTTGTGACTCTTTATAATTATTTTCAAAGAAAAGGCTTCAAATAAAATATCAATGCTGTAAAAACTGTTTGCCAGCAACATTCAGTGTTTGTGGGCATAAGTTTTATATTGTTGACTCAGACTTTGTCAATAAATACCAATGATGTGGGGACAGAAGGCTAGGGAAACTTCCCATTTCCTGCCTGCATTTATTTATTTACTTACTTATTTCCTTCCTTCCTCCTTCCCTCCCTCCCTCCCTTCCTCCCTCCCTCCCTTCCTTCTTTTCCTCAGGGTTCCATCTAGGCCGCACAAGATGTCAGAATTAACACTGAAGGTTGGCAGACAACTTCTCCCTAGGAATTATATATTCTACTAGACACCCCCACTGCTCCAGGGAGGGTCAGTGCTGCCCCTTGAACTTATGCATGGGGGTATTATCTGCTCTGGGCTGGTGATTCCTTTGCCCTGAAGCACTAACTCAGTTTCTCCTGTCTCTCCACACCAAGTGACACCTAACACAGTGTGGCTTGCAGCTTGCACCCACTTTGCAGATCTGAATCTTGCTGGAATTGAGTTAGGTAATAGGCAGATTCACATATTTTACCATGAGCTGCCACAGACCAATGACAATACTACTGTAGCTTTGTGTATGTGTGTGTGTAAAACAAAGTATAGTATGTGCACACTCATATATGTACAAACACCCTGGGGGCATATATGTCCAATGTGAATATAGTTATTAAAAAATTTCATGTTGAGATGAGGATGTAGCTCAGCTGTTAAGGTACTTGTGCACGAGGTGCTGAGTTTGGTTTCCAGCAACACACACACACACATGCACACACCAGCGCACATACACACACACACACACACACACACACACACACACACACACACACGGTGGGAGATGCCATGTTAGTGTTACTTGGCATGCAGAGGCAGAGGAAAAACTGGTATACTTTTGGACATAGTAATCACCAACCCCAGAGCAGGTCACACCTCCAGGCACAAGGTTCAAAGGGCAACCTTTGTTCTTCCCTTTCTCAAAAGGAAAAGGAGAAATGTTCTGATTACCACAGAGGCCCAGATAATCAGATAATCCAGAGAATCAGGAGAGCTCAGCTCCCAACTGCAGAGGCCTATAGGATGGCCCATTAGACTCAAGGGTGTGCACCTCCTGCCTTTGATGTGTGGCTTTTGCATCCTCCTCTTCCCTCGGGGAAAGACTGGCTTTCTATCCTTTCATCCTTCCAATCATTGCTCTTGGCTAGGGCCATCAGGGCTGTGGTCGGTAACCCTCAGCACACAGACAACTTCTTCCTCTCTGGTCTAAGATAAAATGTTCATTCTTTGACTCTTGTTGACTCTGAAGGGAGGTCTAATTGGGACCGTCCAGAGTTCATGGACTCTTTGAATTGAGTAAACTTACTTGGGAAATGGGAACAATGAGCCTATGATTAATTGAGGCTTACGGTTTCCTTCTAATCAGTGGGGACGGCACAGAGAGTAATTAGGGGGTGAATGGGGCTTCTCCACAGAGAGGGTAGAGAACGTCTGTGCTTGTGAGACTCAGTCTGTCTAGATGTGCAGTTGTTGAAGCGATTCTTCTTTATTACCTACCAGAGGCTTTCTTGCCTGCACCTCCCAACCTGCTGGTGGAGGTGATTCTAGACCAGAGAAGGCTGGCCTGCCTGCCTCGCACCTCAGTGCCCTGAGGGCTCCATTCCCAGAGCTGACCTCACTCCCATGCGAGGAAGCTGATGCTTTGCCCTTTCCACTGCTTCTGTACACCCCTACCCCAAACGTCATGTGTGTGGGGTGCACGTGTGCATGTATGAAATCAGAGAATAGCCTTGTGTTTTCTTAGTTACTGTTCACTTTTCCCTTTCTTCCGGAAAGTTTTACTGATTTATTATTTTCATGTGCGTATGGCTGTGGATGTCTGTATCGGTCAGAACGCCTGGAGCTGGAGTTATAGGTGACTGTCAGTCACCCTCTGTGGGTACTGGGAGCCAAGCTCAGGTCCTCTGGAAGAACAACATTTACTCTTAACTGCTGAGCTATCTCTCCAGTCTCCCCCCATAGCTCTCGAGACCACATCTCTTGCTGCTGCGTAGGATATGTAGGCTGGCAGGACAGTGAATCTACCTGACAATAAGAGTCAGTTTGTCTCTGAAGAAGAGATGATATGAATATACATTTTGTGTGCTTGTATATACAGCTAACAAAATCAAATTATTACTTTATTTTATGACAGTCTAATAGAAATCTTTGCTTTAAAGCTATAGGATTGTGCAGAAGTAAAATGAGTTAAAATTTTATTTAAGTGTGTTGGTTTCTGCCAACTGTCCATATTCTTTATCATAGGAAGGCAAACCCCTGCTAGAGGACCTTAAGGAGTGATTGGCACAGTTATCTGGCCAAAGGTTATGCTGTGGCTCCTGTTTGCTAAGGCGGATGTTGGTTGTTAGGTTTTCTGTTTTTGAGACAGGGTCTCTCTAGGTAGCACTGACTGGTTTGGAACTCAGAGATCCGCCTGTCTCTGCCTCCCAAGTGCTGGGATTAAAGGTGTGCACCAGTATACCTAGCAAGAAAGGCTATTTTTAAATTGCCATTTCAAATGCTTGTGTGCAAAACTTCTATCTGTAAAATGTTCATGCCTGTCATTTCTATTGCTCTGAGCTTGCAAACTGTGGCAGAAGTTCCTTTTGGTGAGTAGGAGACTGAAGACCATCCTCAGGTGGCCATGCTATTCCTACAAAAGCTGTAGGAAACTGTGGGGGCTGCGAGGCTTTTCCAAAGCATTAGCTTGGAATCCTGCCTCCTCCTAAACAAAGAAGAGCTCACTTGTCTCTCTGAGTGCACAGCTGATTCTTGGCCGAGAGCATCCGTAACATATGCACCTTCATCATGCTGGGGTTACAGATGTGTCCGCTAAGCCCAAGTTCTGTCAATTGAAGTTAGGCCCTCATGCTTGTGTGTGGACAACTCATTGATTTCCAAGGTCAACCACAGTCATATACAGATACATATATGTTCACTCTCCCACTGACCAGCACACAAGTTGTCTAGTCTTGTTTTAGAACCCATCCTACCTTGACAGTCCCACCTCACTCCTGGGGTCTGGGTCGAACCCTGCTGTCCTACCTAGCCACTGACCTCACCCTGACTTTTGAGCATTTTAGGAAAACGTATCTATATTCCAAAGATACGTTTGGGGGTGTGTGTGGACATGAATACATACACAGAGGAGACCTCTTAGGGAACATTTGTTAAAAGTAGGTCATTGTTTTGTTTTGTTTTGTTTTATTTCCTGGTGCAGGGGATACAGAAGCAGAGTTTGAGGAACATGGGCAGACAGGGAAAGTGAGGGCAGGCTCTCCGAGACAGCTACTTCTTGTTCCCAGAGAGTATTCAGAGGAGAAACTGTGGGAAGACATGGGGGTGGGTATTTAGACAGGTCCAATGGTGGGGGAAGGGGGACCCAGGAACTGGCCTCTGTTTAATAGACCTCCATCCTTGGGCTTCTCCTGACCTGAATGCACACAGCTGTTGCTTTCCCTTTCTTTATGGTTTGATCTGTCTTTCCTGGTCCCACTCATTTTAATTGTTTGTGTCACGGAATTGTCGGCATCCGTAGGCAATCACAGACACCCCTGTTACAGCAGAACCAAGGGCCACGCACGTCCAGGAAAGTACCTCACCCCTCGACTTCATCCCCAGGCCTTAGCTTATTCTTATCTAAGCATGGACTGATCTTCACTGAAGTCTTTTGGCAACAATATACTAAGAGGAAAGAAAATAATTCAACGAGCCTATCCCTTCTTTTATTATAAAACATGACCCAAACTACTGAAAGCAAACTTTACATCAGATAGGGGATATGAACTTTGATTTTGTATTCTCTATTTCAGCTTAGAATGTGAAACTGCCCAGCTATCATTTTTCACCCTGAATTTATCATCAACTCCACTTCCTGTTATTGTTTCTCCAATATTGGAGAGAAACATTTACTTTCCAGAAGTTTTCATTTAACCTTAATGAAAACCAAACCCACATAGATCTACTTAAAAAAAATAAACATTTCAGTCTGAACACGAATCTACTTGATTATAAGAACGCTGACCTAATAATTTCATAATATTAGCATCTGTCTAATTATATCCTTTGGCTGCTCCAGGCATGATCACCGGTTTTTGAAATTCAGATGGTGAACTTGGACTAACCCCTAGCCCCCACGGGACCCGAGTGACCTGCAGCTCATTTTGCTGTCACAGCTGAGGGAGGGCAGTTTCCCATCCTGCTCTTTTGTGTGGGCTCTGGACAGCACTTACGTCTCGTCCGTGAATGCTATTCCAAAGTATTCCTTTTCCTTCAGGTTAAAATGAGATGCCACGAGGTCAAGAAGCTCCTTGGCCAAAAGCTTGGGCTGGAAGAAGAAGACAAAGGGAAAAGATTAAGTCACGAGAGACGTTCACTAAAGCACGCCATCCACTTAGGCTCCTAGCAAGGTTCCCAGTGTAATATCTGAACATGCAGGCACACTCCATAAACACAAATGCCTGTTGTGAAGTCCAAAGAGGGGCTTGGACGTGGTTCAGTTGGTAGAGTCCTTGCTTGGCACGAGTAAAGCCCTGTTTGACTCTTGGTGCAGGGTAAAATTGGTTGTGACAGGGAATGGCTGCAATCCCACAGGAAGTGGAGGTAGGAGGATCAGGAGTTCAAGATCATCCTCAGCTACATAGCAAGCTTGAGGCTAGCCTGGACTACATCACACACACACAGACACATATACACAGCCAGCCAGCCAGAGACATAGAGAGAAAGGGGAAAGGGAAAGGAGAGAGAAACAGAGGGAGAGAGGGAGTGGGAGAACAAGAGAGTAGAGAAAGAAAAAGACTGAGAGGCACTAGGGTACTGTTGTATAAAACAGCCAAGTCAATGGTCCCAGGTCACAGATGGTGGCTTTGTAAAGTTGATTCTGTGAACAAACAGCACTCTTGGTCTTTAGTGGGGCTGTCCAGCCTGGGGACAGGAAGATGTCCTTTTTTAATGGACGTGTTTAGCAAACACAGGCAGACTCTCCTATTCTCAGGATGAGGTTATTCTCTGATACACCCATTGCAATCTGAAGATGCTGTTACATGCAAATGCATTCAATATGAGTACCAGAGTTTTGCAACACAGTGCTACAGGTGTGAGCTCAAGACAAAACGGTAAATGCCATGAGATTTATTTTATAACTAAGTTGCAAGTTTCTAAGTATGGGCTTGGAAGAGGACGACCTTGCCTTTCTGCACTGAAAGGTTGAACACACCTGCCACAGTGTGGCGACTTTTGCCTGGTGATCACATGGATAACTGGGCGGCTCCCGCCTTCAGCATCATTAGAGGAGAAGGTAGCACATAGCCTGATGCAGGCAGGAAAAAGATCCAGATGCAACATTCACAGTACTGAACGCACATCACTTTTGTACCATCGTCAAGTCCAACATCCGTAGGCTGAGCCATAGTGAGTCAGGAACTATGTCTATTCGCTGTGTGGTAGGCGCTGCTGTAAGCATTTTTTACACATCGTTTACCCTAACCATGAAGTTGTCTATCGTACAAGGCAGAAACCAGCCCAGAGATCAGGCAGCTGCTTCTGCCTCCTCCAGACTCTAGGACCAACAGTTCTGCAGTGAAAATCTCCTAGATGCACATGGGTTTGAAGTGATGTAGCACTTCCTCCCCTGCTAGTTAGAGATCAGTGGGAAACTCAACCTAGATGAACCAATGGCATCTAATGTTCCCTACTTCCATTCCCATGGCACTGTACAAGCTGAGGCTAAACCAGCAGGAAATTCAAGACTGGAAGTCAAACCTTCCTTCGTTAATAGGAAGAAGTCTACCCTGGGAATGCAGAGGGGTGCACGTGGCATGTCTCAGAACTTTGCAAATGAATTAGGAAAGATGCTGCAAGGTTGAGTTCTGAGCTTGAACACATGCTGGGGGATGCTGTGGGCTCCGCTGCCCATGTGACTGTTCGTCCCAGAAGATGCTGGGCTGCGTGTAATTTATGGGTTGTAATGAGGCAGCGGGCCAACTGCTTTTAAAATGTAGCGGTTCATAATTTGTCCATCAGAATGACTGCAATCTCTTTCAAAGTATCCACGGTCTATCTGTGATGTTTGCTGTTTCTGCAAGTATTTTGAGCTGGGCACTGTAGTACACACCTGTAACTCCAACACTTGGAAGGCTAGGGTAGGAGGAATGGGGATTCGAGGCTAGCCTGTGCTACACAACAAGATCATATCTTAATATCATTTTTTTTTTCAATTTAGGATTATCTTTTTGACTTGTCCTAGAAGTATGTTTTAGATTCAACATCCTTGCCAGCAAGATCTCTTCCAGCACTTGGAAAGGATTTAGAATTTTTCAAAAGTCACTTGAGGTCAAGTCTAGCGGGTAGGGGTAGAAAGTCACTTGAGGTCAAGTCTGGTGAGTGGAGGGAGACGAGGAGTGGGTGGGTTCACTGGGTCAGTCTGGTATTAGAAAATGAAGTGAGACTAAAAAGCAGTTGCTGTGGGTTCTTATGAACTATGGTGAGGTGACTAACCCATTCTTAAAAAGGACAGCACTGAGATTTCTCTCTCTTTGGGAATGACGTATTAAGGCTATTTGAATGCCCTTGCTTGGCGTGGCGATTTGAACCAGAGACTGGTTGGCAGTGCTGTTTGGAAGGTTATAGTACTTTGAGAAAATGGAACCTTGTTGGGGGCACACATCATTGGAGGTAGACTTTGAGGTTTTGTAGCCATTTCCTGTGTGTGTATAAAATGTGATGTCTCTGCTTCATGACTGCTAGGCCAGCCTCATGCTCCCACCACCACTTCTCCATTACGATGTACTGTACCTCCTGTGATCCCAAATCAACTCTTTCTTCTCTAAATTGGCTTTTTGGGTTTTTTGTTTTGTTTTTGTTTTTGGTCAGAGCATTTTATCACAGCAATGGAAAGTAACAAATACAGTTGGAGAAGCAGACATTTACCCAGGAGGAGGAAGGTGCTCATTAGCTACAGAAATGGTTGGGAGAAAATGCAAGTCAGGGTATAAGAAGGGAGCCAGGGACGTGTGGAGGGCAAGGGACATGATTAACAGGTGTTGGGTACTTGTGCCCTTCGCCAGTGAAGCCCTTTGAAATGACAGAAAGGGACACATGGAACAACTTCAACTGACCATTGTAACATTCACATCTACTTTATACGGCCATGTCTTACAAAGGATTCTCTAAGGCATTTTTTGCTCCTCTGTCCCAGACACAATTCTGAGAGCTTCTGCATACAACATCATTATCTAAACAACAGAGGACCATCCCCCTGCCAGTCAAGACTTAGAGTCAGCAGATAGGCTCTGCTTGGTCTCAGCAAAGCCAGAATTGGAAACAAAGTCTGGACACACATAATGGAACATTCCTCAGACTCAAAGAGGAACAAAATGCAGATATAGGCTACGTGAGTGAACCCTGAAGACAGCTAACTGAAAGAAGCCATAAAAAAGATGAATGCCTTTTGTCCTCTCACTTGTGAAGACTAAGATCATGTGATTTCACAAGGGTTGCGGGGGTGGGTGGGTGGGAGAGGACGAGGAGCTTAATGGTTGCAGAATTTCTGCTTCAGATTCTGACCAAATTTTGGAAATGGTGGTGAATCTTCGATAACATGGTGCATGTAGTTAGTGCCCCTGAATTGTATGTATACAGATGTTTAAAATGGTAAATTAATATTGTGCATAGTTAGCCCAGTTTAAAAATAAAAAGAAACAAAACACAAGTCCTAGCTTGTCTCAAAGTGGTACTCTTCCTCTGCATTCTGCCTGAGTTTACTACTTCCTGGGTTAAAAGTCCAGCATCGTTTGTCTCGAAGGACCTGCTTAGGGCTATAGTGCTGTGGCTAAACCCTTACACTGGCACCACAGACTTACACAGCAGCGCTGTGCACTTAGTTAACGTGAGTCTTCCCCTGATTTTCATGTCTCAAAGCTTTGGAGATGACTTGATGTACTGAACAATGGCTGCTCTTTGAGAGATGTGTAGGGGCTGACTTTAGCCTCTCTAAGATGACACACTCCTTTAATTTCACCTGTCTCCCCAAACCTTTTTTATTTCTTGTATTTTATTTTATTTTTTAAAATGTTTTCTTTATTATTTATTATGTATACAGTATTTTGTCTGCATGTACATCTGCAGGCCAGAAGAGGGCATCAGATCTCATTACAGATGGTTGTGAGCCACCATGTGGTTGCTGGGAATTGAACTCAGGACCTTGGGAAGAACAGTCAGGGAATCTTAATCTCTGAGCCATCTCTCCAGCCCCCTCCCCAAACCCTTTTTATATTGGAAAATTTACACTGAATAACTAAACAGCTCAGGCAGCCACAGCTTGGCGGGGGAGGGATGGGGGGGGGAGAAAAGGGGGAGGCGACAAACCTAACCCTTTCTGGTGAACTTTGTTCATATCCTTGTTGGCAAATAATTGCTGAAACATGAAGAAATATCAACCGCTTTTCATGAACGGTATGATAGACCAAAGGGAAGAAAATCTACCTCAGGGCACCCACGATTTAAAAGCAGAGGAACCATAGCTGGGAGACTCACATACTGTGAGGCTCTGAGCTCAGTCTCCCGAAGGCAAGGTAAGAAGTGTGTGGGGAGTAACCAGAATGTATTCTATACATGCAGGAAACTGTCAGATAACTAACTTAATAAAAAGCAAATTCACACTAACCAGTGGGAGTCCAGCAAGGAAAACAGACCCTGGCACCTTGAGATTACACTATATGTAATGACCTAATTTCTCTCCTGTTAAAATAGAAAACAGCCATTAGAGAATGGAGGGGGAAAGTAGGGTTGGCAGTGCATGCTTGTAATCCAGGACCGAGGACGCAGAGCAAGGCAGACCTCTGCGGGTCCAGGCCAGACTACAGCTCTAATTCCCTGTGAGATACTATGTCAAAAAAAAAAAAAAAAGAAAGAAATAAAAAAAAAAAAGAAAGGCGCCCAAGGAATGACATGGGAAGTTGACTCCAGGCTTCTCATGCACACACACCTATGTGCATACACATGCATCTATGCACACAGCACATATACAGAATACAATAAGAAATACAAATAGAGGAATCAAGTCAGTGATGGGGGAGATGACAGAAGATTCTAGAAGACATGGGGGTTGCAACTCTTATCTTAAATCCTCATAAAACCCCACACATCTCTTTCAGTTGTCAAAGCACCCAGCAACAGCCCAGCATCTGACTGTGTTCATCCTTAAGAGTCAGAGCAGGACCCAGCAGCTGAAGTCCGGTACCCCTCCCTGTCTATAGTGCTGAGACAGTGGGGTTGTCTGTTAGCACAGCGCAGAGGTGCATCCTGCCTGACTCCGGCACTGTGTCTCCA